ATAACATATATTTTTACACATACAACAATTTAAATCAATTCTGTATAAAATAAAATAAAATAAGGCCAATAGGCTCATAAAGGCCTATGACTGATCTGATTAAATCTTAATATGTCACGTTTAACAAATATACTTGGCTTAAGCCTCTAAACCTATTTATATAAATAGGTCAAGACTGTTTAGTCAAAACCTAACATGATCTGTCTTTCTATTTTAGTGGGCATAGATGTTTTCTGTTTTTCAAAATGAAACTTTTTTCTTTGCCAATTTTCGATTACTATTACTTGTTTTCTCAATTTTTATTCATTGAGCTTTTATGCTCCAAGTATAACTTCTTATAAAATTAAAAAAAAGTCAAAAGAAAAATTCAAAAAAAAAATACAGCACGTGCCTATCCCGTCTCATAAACAGTCTGACGACTTGTAATTTTTAGAAACATGTGAATTCAAATGCCATGATTCATCTAAAGATTTTATTAATATATAAATAATTTAAGTAATTATATATAATTAGTCACCCTTTACAGGGTGAGAAGTGGGTTAATAATCACAACTTCACAAGCTTCGCCCCAAAATCACATCAACTTTGGAATCAAACACAAATGGGAGAAAGAACGATGAAAGGCACACAAAATACGACAAAGAGGTTGGGGCAGTGACCTGTGAAGGTGTGCTAGGCTGAACGCCTGTGTCAGCATATCGCATCATCAGACTTCCCTCCCTCCCTCTTTTTGCCCCACATGAACTCACCTTTTGCCTTTATAATTTTTATCCTCAAATTTATTTTTATTTTAATTTTGACTAAATCAAAAATTTTGGTCAAATAAAATTTTTTGACCTAAGTCATAAAATAATTCATGTATTTATTGAATTATAAGAGCTAATACCTTAAATAAAAAATTTTGATGAACTAAAACTTATTAGTTAAAACTTAGTAGACCAAAAATAAAATAAATATCAAACTTAAAAGACTAAAAATTATACTCCTCCGGTTCTAAATATAAGACCCATTTTGTAGTGCAATTTGCACTACAAAATGGGTCTTATATTTAGAACCGGAGGAGTATCATCTTTTTAAATTTAGGCAAATTAACAACACAAGATCATGAACAAGAAGAAACTCACAACCTTTTGATTTATAAAAATTATATATATATCATTAAGTTATAAAGATATTAATATATTCGGGGCTTTTATATAACTAAGCTACTACCTCTGATTGTTAATATAAAAGTTAGTTTGACTTTCAATTTGATTCTAAATATAAGAGCCAAATCCAATTTGTCTATAATATTTATCAATTTTTTTAAGATGATTCTTGTAGTAGTTACATATGTTAAATGTCTTATCAAATGAATACTTAATTAGCAAGGATGTTTTAGAAAAAAACAACACATATTTATTATAAATAACTAAGTTAACTAATTTTTTTAATCCGCTTAAATTAATCAACTAATTCTTATATCAAGGTAGTACAAAGTAATTGTCTTGTTATGGATCCATAATCTGTCTTATGATCATAAATTTTCATTTCATTTATGTGGGATATGAATGTATGCATTTGTGTGTACTGATGAGAATCACGCGGGGATATGTGAGTCAAGTTACAGTAATGATCATAAGTTTGACTTACGTTTTCGGCTGCACATGCCATGGATGGAGTCCGTAGGTTGGCGTATTAATTACTGCTTTCCGATGCATTCTTTACGTTTGTGTAAAAAGATTAGGACCAAGTCACCTCTTGTTTACCAATTATTGCTTCATTTACTTTATATGATTATTCATATTATTGGTTGTTGTTACTAGGGTTTGCTTGATTTGGCTAAGATCTCCCCCTGCCCTTCAATCCATAAAGATCGATCTTTCATTTTTTTGTCAGCAAATATATATGAAACGACAACCAACAGACGCAGTTAAATTGACATGAATGAGCCCTGAGCCTGAGGTGACCTCAATTTTATGCCTTTACGAAAACCCTTGTTTCTTCACCGCCTAACTTTCTCCCCATAATAGTCCAAAAACACAGTACGCGATTGGGAAATGGGAATACCCAGAAACAGTACAGTTCCCCCCCCCCCCCCTCTTCCGTGTTTTTTTCTTCTCAAAAACACAAAAATAATTGAAGGAGAAAATGATCCAGATCCAAGGGCAGGGGTCATACGCTGTTTAGGATTCGTGTTTGGTGCATCTTTTTCCTGCTACCTATTATTTTGCCCATTCCCTGATTTTGATGTGATTTGATGGCCATCACTTCCGTTTTCCATTGTTTTTTTTCCTGATTTTTTTTTAAAAACTACTTGATGCATCTATTTACATATCAGATGCAAACCGACAATCTCAGTTACATTAATGACTTTATATAAATGTTTTGTACTACAAATAAACTCGCTTTCTTTTCTGTTTCTTGCTTGTTATGCTGTGAGACTTGCGGAAGGATAATCAAATAATGAACCTCATAACTTTGGCTCATTGAGTCAAATGTCAAACTTACTTTGTAGAATGCTATTAGCTATATGCTGGCTAGCATTTTGTAGAATCAAGTTATTCAATCCAATGTGGCCCCGCAAGATATTTTTTCTTGTAGTTTTCTCCCAACACATTAATTCACAGTAGTGTTTGTTTGGTTTATGATTACCTGTCTGTTTTAATTTTTAACAAAAGAAAAGAAAGACGTACTTATACAAATATTTGTGTGTGTGTGTTTCAATATTGGTTCATTGACATATATCAAATTAAAATATTTCCTACACCCCAATATGAGATTTTATTTTCTTTTTAGCCGTCCAATCCTGTTGATTATTACAATCATATTTTAACTTCTTGTGACAAAACCGGTCATTTGACCTCCAAAATAAAAGGGTGCGTGTCCTTTCCTTTATAAATGCTTTGAGTGGCTTCTGTGGAGTTTTCCAGCAAAAGAGAAGGAAAATGGCCCCTTATTTCCCAGCATACTTTCTCTGGATTGTGATTCATTTTACAAACTTTAAATAAATTCTCAAAATTATCATCAATAATAAAAAAAATATTAATCAGAAGTATTATGTTATTAAAGTCGAAGTTTTAGAATTATTTATAAATGTTAAAGTTAAAAAACTAATGATACTGATGTATTATAGGGTAATGAAGAATACGTTACTCTAATCTTGCATCCAACTTGGCTTATGCATCTAACACCCCCTAATGTATTCTCGGTTACTTTCAGAACTCTAATCTTATTACTAGCAAGTTGTTGGTTGAAGTGGTAAGTGGCCTCATCTTCATGAGGAGAATAATCCAATTTTAAATTTTGAAAAACACATTTGTTAAGAGAGGTGAAAACTCTCTGTGCTCTAAATCTTGAAAAGAAAAACCCTTGATCAAATTAAAAAAAAATTCTAAACTTATTTATAATTTAGGAGACTGGTCAAATAAAATTAAAGTTATTGATAAAATTGAAAAAGACGTTGTTTTACCTTATATTATATTATAAGACATGAAGGTTTATAATACTACCTCAAGTCCTTAATATAAAGACTATTTAACTAATTTGAGTAAATTAAGAAAATTAATTAAGTTTTTCATTTGTAACAAATATGAGTTAATTTTCTTAAAGTACCATTTTTAATCATGATAATCCTTGAATGAAGATCCCTTGACACATGTAGTCAATAGAGATATTTTAGAGAATGAATTATAAATTTAAGGGATAAAGTGTATTGAAATTTTATATTAAGAACTAAACTTAATTACTAGCTCTGATATTAAGAATTAGAGGTAGTATATGACGGAGTTTGGGTGTGTGTATATGTGCTCATGCATATCCGATGTCTCTCTCCACCTCCTCTTTATGGTGTGCTCTCTAGTTGGTGAAGATGCTGACCCTTCAACCCTGCAACCTCCCTCCAAATCTCCCCAAAAGCTCACGTCGTTTACCTCATTTAAACCACAATGATCGTCGTTTTCCTCTAACATACTGTACTTATACAGGCTCCATATTCAAATCACCTTCTTCAGCCTTCTCAGGTCAAAAAAAGACACGCCAAAAACAAATCCCGACCAGCTACCCTTTGGATTCATGGGGATTAAATGTGCGGCCTCCTGTATCGTACAAACTTCATTTATGCTTCCCACATCACCCTCGTCAAATTTAGTAACTCTTAGTGTGCATAATACTGTCGACTAATGATTTTGATTAATATTTTTAATCCTTTATTTGGGACGAATTAAATATAAACTAGTCATTGCTGGTCAAAAAAAAAAATTATAAACTAGTCATTTACTAGCAGTAATAGTTAACTAGTAGACATAGCCTGACACCACCAATAAAAAGTTGAATCTGTTACTACTTTAATTTCATAAAAGAGAAAAAGTAATGTCTGAATTAAAAAGAGATTAATTTGACCGCAAGGAAACCAATTTTATTAAGAAATGAAAGTTGTTGACGCCAAAAAGAACGTCAGGCATGTCGGAGAAGACCACACGTAGCAGCAGCAGCCATTAATGCCGACAATTTATATTTATTTTCCTATGTAACACCCTGCTCTCTGTCTTCCCACCCCACCCACTCTCTCTCTCTCTCTCATCCTCATCGGTTCACCCCCCTTCCGTCACCTCCTCACGCGCCACCGTCACGCTCCCCCACTTCCCTCTCGGGTCCCACCTCACGTCAGTTCGGTTCAGGTACGGGAATGCGTGCTTTCAGGAACGCCCTGAAATTGACTCGCAGGGTTTCAGTGTTCCTCATCGGCGTTTGGTGAAGCGCGTATATATATTGTATGCACATGATTTCACTGTCTCTCTCTCTTTTTTTTTTTTTTTTTTTTCCTGGTTCGTCTTCGGCTCCCGTTCCCCTCTGCTTCTGCTGTAGCAGTACTTACCAATACTAAAAACTACTGTACCCTCACAGTAAAAAATATCGGGCTTCAGTAAAATCACTATACGGTCAGAGATATGTTCCGGGTTAAGATTACCGGCTCCACCGGTTATAGCCGGTGGAAGGATTTTTAGGATTAGATTAGATGGATTATATCAGAATGGGAGCATAAAACATAAACAGCAAAAGTATATGAATGAATGAGTGTGGATAGATTTCTTTTCATGGTTCTTTCCCCGCAGGATCAGAGATTGGTGGCGTTATTACCTTCTTCTTTTTCTCTCGCTTGCTGTTCTGGGCACTGTGATTTCGCTTTCCAGCGTGGGTTGATTTGAATTTGACGACGACGGAGGAGGAGGAGGAGGTCATGGATTTTGAGGAGCAAGAGGAGGAACTGGGGATGGGACCCGCAGGGAGTTACGACTCGATGGGGAACCCGACCCGGGTGAAAATGGCGAGTGGCGGAGAAGTGATGGTGGTTCAGCCTTTGAGGAATAGTAATAATAAGGCAAGGTATAGGGAGTGCTTGAAGAACCACGCCGTGAGCATCGGCGGCCACGCGCTCGACGGCTGCGGCGAGTTCCTCCCAGCCGGAGCGGAAGGCACGATGGACGCCCTCAAATGTGCCGCCTGTAACTGCCACCGCAATTTCCACCGCAAAGAAACGGACACGATCAGTATCGGAGTCGGGGAACCGTATTTGTTGACCAACCATCCCCATCTCCACCATCACCAGCCACCTCAGTTCTCGCCGTATTACCGGGCCGCGCCGGCGGGGTATTTGCACGTGGGAGCACAGCAAAGGGGGCCGGCGACGCTGGCGCTGCCGTCAACGTCAGGAGCAGGGTGTGGGATCCAGAGCACAAGGGACGATCAGGAGGACGTTTCAAATCCGAGTGCAGGAGGAGGGGAGGGCTCGAAGAAGAGGTACAGGACCAAGTTCACGCAGGAACAAAAGGACAAAATGCTGGCTTTGGCTGAGAGACTGGGTTGGAGGATTCAGAAACACGACGAGTCGGTGGTCCAACAGTTCTGTGACGAGACGGGTGTGAGGCGTCACGTTCTCAAGGTTTGGATGCATAACAACAAGCACACCCTTGGTAAGAAGCCCTAGACAAGATGCACTACAAAATGTTCTCTCCCTCTTCTCCATGCCTCTATCTTCGTAACTCTCTTCTCTTACTTCTTGAGCTGCAAAATGAGGTATATTGGGTTGGTACTTCCTGGTTTGAAGGCCGAGTTTGAAACTGGGAAATTGTGTTTCTGACTGTCTTCTGAGAAGTCTAGCACTAGCTATCAGGACCTTAGGGTTTCTTTCTTCTTTTCTCTTTCTTCTTCATCCTCATCTTCCGTTTTTTATTTTTCAAACATTGGGGAAATCAGTGGGGCTGTATTCCTTTGAATTGTGTTGGTATTTGAAAATGAAGGCGCGTACTGTTCCACTATGATTAGAGCAAGTTATTGTTGCTGAACTCATTTAATTTCTTCAGTGTTATAATTTAAGTTCTTTCTTTCACTGTGAATGTCACATATACGTAGGGAATTAGTATTTATTTCGGCACAGGTGGCTGGCTAATATGTAGATGGTGGCAAAAGGCAACTGCATTTGGATTTAACTAGGAACTTTTGTTTAGATATGTTATCAGCAGCCAAAGAGACGATGATTTGGTTGTTAGCCGAAGAGCTAATCTCATGATCACGAAGAACGGCCTAGGCTAAACCAGTTAATCGGGAAAAAGAAAAAAAAGACCTTTAGGAGCTTTGCCTCCACAAATCTACAGTGTAGTCGAAGACAGTTGGAAGCAGAAACTTTCTCGAAACCTTAAACATGTCTCAGGTTGCATTTTTCTTGTTGCTCTTCTACACCCAGTCTTTTGCTTTCTCGATCAACCTTTTTCTGTTTCCCCACTCTCATTCACTGAGCTTTGCAGAACTTTCGTTTCTTTCTCCTCCTCATTAACGTTGTCCTTACATTATCTGGAGGTGGTGGGGTAGCAAGAATCTAAAGTTTCTGATCTACAATCTCTGTTAATTACTTTAATAACAATCTTTAATATGGTGAGGTTTCGTGTATAACCCCTCCTATTATGGAAAAGGCAGAGAAGAGCTCAACCAAATGTTCTTGATCTGTCAGTGATATGGGGTCATGACCTCGGGAAGGAAAGGGGTGTTACAAATGTTTTCTGTTTCATTGCCTCCGTTTTTCTGGAATCTCTATTACTAATTTTTATAAATTGAAAAAGGGGATATTAAAAGAACCAAAATTGAAAAGGGAAGCTCATGCAGCTTGTAGGTTAAATATCTCCATGATTTAATGGTCTGAGCCTGACGTTGCATTTTTCTCCTCACTTTTTCTTGTTTCGTTTCTTTCTTCTTTTTTGAGTTTGTCCCTTGGATCTTTTTTATTGTTTTGATTGTTTAATCCTTTAAATTAATATGAAATGTGGGTGGTTGAGCTAGAATAGAACAAGAAGAATACACACACACACACACACACACACACACATATATATATATCCACTCCTATCAATGCCATGGATGTGAGATTCGGACATGAAAGCAGATTCTACTTCGATCCAAAGTATCTGTAATGAGGATGATTACAGAATCTCGTCCTCTCGCCGGTCTTCTCTAATAAAATCGACAGAATTTCAATTAATTGGGTATTTGATTGCATAAATAATCATTTACCGGCTAACTAACCAGAAGCGTAAATGGCTGACCAATAAGTGATTAATAAAAGTGAAATGGCTAAAGCTGCTTAAACTTTATATCAACTGATGTAAGAAATAGCCTAACTTTTCGTAACGGTTAAAATAAACAAAAGGGCTTCTTGATGAGAAGCCGACGCTCTTACACAGAGATGCATCATCTGAATTGACAGGGCAAAGTTGAAGGAAATAGATAGAAAGATCTTGCAAGCAATTATGAAAGTTGATGGGTACTCATCATTTTCTTCGGTCTTAAAAGTATAGAGGTAACCATTATTTGCGTTTTAAGATAGAATATAATATAATATGGTATATATACACTACATAACCTAGTCTGCGCACTGGAATCATGAGGATTATATATGATCAGTGAGTAGAATAAAAAGTACTATAATGAAGTGATAAATGAACAAGCTTGAGATGGGACGGTAGACAAGAGAAGTACTGCGAGAGGAAGCTTTTGGAGGTAAAGAAGGAAATAGGGAATGGGGATGGTGGGGACCCTGGAAGAAGAAGAAGGAGAAACGTGGACGAATGGGATATAAATTGGAGAGGGAGCATGGAAGAGTAAGAAGGAGCAGCAGAGACTTTAGTGGACAGTTTGCTTCACAATAGAAGGAAAGCAATTCCAAAACCTAATAATAAGTTAACAACTCACAAGCCACCCCCTTGATTCATTCTTTTCCTTCTTTTCCCTTGGGTCTGTCTTATAAGTGAGGACTTAAACTAATACGCATCGAATTATTAGGTCAAGATCATCTCAGGTGGTAATCTCTACCACTAGCGTTATTGGAGCATTATTGCATTTTTAGTTCGAACTATAGATTTTTTATTAAGCTAATACGCTCCTTTGCCGGTTGAAGCAAGTGATTCCCTTCATTGTTCTTTGCTTTGCTTCATTTGGAGGCCACCAGTTCAATCTCCAGTTTGTGGTCCTCTCGTTCTCTCTCTCTACTGCTCTTCATCTGTTCTCTTGCACTAGCACACTTCATTAATTTCCCAGTACTTCCTCCTCCATTTATACAAGCCTGCGTCGTGATGGCTCTTCTTCATGTGCTATTCACTTGGCTGATTCTCCCTCGTGTTCTCTTTAATAATATGGCTACTTAATTGGATTTGCTTGCGCAGTTAATGTACGTATAGGAAGTTAATCGTAATGTAGCTATTTCCATACGAGGCTTTTTATTAGATAAAGGTAACACTTAATGTAGAATCCAATTTAAGAGTTGATATTTGTTGGCGCGAATAGTTTTTTGAAAAGTACAAGAAGAAAAGATGAAGAAGAAAGTGGTACACGATACTTTCAAGGTATGGGTAGCACTTTTCTTTAGGTTTAATTCGCTCCCACTTATTCTTATCTTATAGGATGCAAGTAGATTGACTAACGAATTTCTTTCAAGATACAATAAAGATCTTTGAATATGAATTGCACTTTCAAGATTCAAGCAAAGACAACAATAGCCTTTACAAAATAATAATTTGATTTTATCTCTGCATGTACTCAAAGACAAAGACAATGAGTTTGATCTTTGTGTTTGTGTTGTGTTGTATACAAATGAAATAATGGTGAGGGGTTTATATAAACCATAAATGATGCATTGAAAAAATACCTTTTGGAATAATACCTTATTAAATAAAAAGTCACAATCATATGTTGGTTCATGAACCAAATTAGGATACATTCTGGGAAAATAAAACTTCCATCGAAGAGAAGCAAATGAAAGGCTTTCATAAAAATTCTCGTAGAATCGAGAATGAAGTTTTCATTCTGTACATGCCAGATCATGAATTAGTAACTGCATCCAATCTCCAAAAAAATCCCAATTGTTTCGAATTTTCTCTTTTTGGAATGGAATATTTACAGAATCCCCATGAATAGGACCAAACCTTATTCCATGGTATTTACATAGGATTCCTCTTTCTTATTCTTAAGCAAGTCCCCGAGAGGGCTTAGTTGATCCATGATTTATGTTTCGTCTTTCGTTTCCTTTTCGTTTGTTTCGAGAGATATATCGATCAATTCCGATTCTTTTTCTATTGATTCTTTTCCGATCGAGATGTATGGATCCATGGGTCTATGTGTCTATATAGATCCTGTCTCAGACTTGCCCAAACCTTGATTGAACTTTATGGCCAAAAAAAAAAATTCTCTCTCAAATGTACCTAATACGGGATGTTTAACTCACAACACATACGATGGGTTTAACGATTTAAGTTGTCTAATACTACCTCCAGTCCTATTTATAAGAGCTAGTTGACTAGTTTGAGAAGATTAAGGAAAGAAGTTAAGTTAATTATTTGTAGTAAATAGATATTGTCTTTTTTAAAATATTCTTACTAATAAAGTATATTGGTTAAAATTACTATTATTAGAAGGACTATCTTGAAAAAAATATATAAATATGAGAAATAAAATAGATTGAGTTCTTATATTTAGGATTAAAATAAAAATCAAACAAAATCTTATATTAAGGATTATGTTTTAGCAGCTTAACTGATGGTAATGTTTACACGTGTCTTGCTGTTTTATGGCTCTGAAAATGCCTTGGAGCTTATGTACGTAGTGCCGTAGTGGAATAACAAATTATCTTATTTGAAAATGAAAGTATTGTTAAGCTAGATGGCATAAATAATAACATGACAGAAACGTCGTGGTTAAAAAATATATTGATTGGAACAAAATCTTGAGCGGAGAAATTTAGAATCAAATTCAAATATACTACTTCCAGTCCTAATTATAAGATCTAGTTGATTAATTTAAAAAGATTAAGAAAATAAATTAAGTTAGTTATTTGTCATAAAGAGGTGTTGGCTAGAACTACCATTATTAGAGAGACTACTTTGGAAAAAAATACATAAATATAAGAGATACAATGAATTGGGATCTTATAATTAGGATCAAAATAAAAATCAAACGATATGTTACACTAAAGACCGGAGGTAGTACTAGGAAAAAAAAAGGTAAGGAAAGAGAAGCTGAAAAAAGAAAAAAAATTTTAAAAAAATAATTACAGGAAGAATTAAGTATTGATCCCAATGTGAACATAGAGCAAAAGTGAGATTTATTATAAGCAATGAATTATGAAAAAGAACATCAAAAGTGAGTTTTTGATAAATTTTATAGACATGCAGTTACAACTTACAAATAAAAAAGTGACTGACCGAACTCCTTTGTCACAGAGCATGAGCACTTTACCGCCAATCTAGGTGTCGATCGCTGTTAATAACAACGATCAGATCTCTTGCCACGTGCGTCATTTCAGTTGACTCAAAACGCAGCGTCTAGCCTTGAAATGCAATCAGGCCTTCGGCTTGAATGCCGGCGTACGTGGCTTAGATCGGAACCGTTGAAGAAATTGACGGCTGTGGATGAGAGAGGCAAAAAAACACAGCGTTTCAACAGAAAATGGCATTGGCCCCCAGGCCATAGTATCATTTGATTTACATGTCCCGTTCATTACTCATTGGATGGCGAATCACATGGCATTGATGGCAATTATTGGCATTAATCAGGGCCTTACATGTCATTTGAAATTAAATCAGTTCATGTTTATATATCATATTTAAAAGTCCCCTCGGGGCCTTACGGGCATAGTAGGAAACAAGCCGCATTCAAGCGGTTCACCATTTTTTCAATCCCACTTCTCACTTTTCGGCGCATCTTCAGCCCATATAACTAACTAGTTCTGATTTTATGACTCATATAACCCTAATAAAAACTTGGCTTCTAGTATTGGGATTGACATGGATGTTTCGTGATTTATCAACTTAGGATTTTCATGTTTTGTTGAAGTTAGTTTGAATATTGAAAATGTGATAATACGTTTTGAATGTTAACTTAAGATTCAATGTCAACCCATGAAAAACTACTCATTTGATACTTCATATAAAATCTAATTAACTAATTTGAGTATTAAGAATGTTAGTTAAATTAGTTAATATGGTATATTTTTTAAAAAAACATCTTAATAATATTTTTTAATTCCTTCTCTCTTTCTCCTACTTGATTACTGTTGAAAAAATATTAATATGGTTAATTTGAAAAACATTGATAAACATGTGAAATAAGACTTGTATATAAGACTAAACATCAACTTTTAAATTTGATTCTACATTGAGGACCGGAGAAGTATTTTATTTGAAAACTAGAGATATATTAAACTCATAAAGCTACAATTGTGGCAAACTCTCTAAGCGCTCCTACAAAATCAGAGTTCGAATTCAAGACTTTTTGCTAAACCAACACAACCCTCTTAGCAGTTGAATGATGTGCTTCGTGGGAAGTGACAAGAAGCTTGGGGTGTGGGAGAAATTTAGGTGGTGAAAATCTGGGAAAGCGGCAATTTTAAGAAGTTGAGAGAGATTAGTCTACATGTGATGAAAGAAAACAGGAAGGCCGGTGGAAAACCATAGAGTCAGGGAAGGGGGCCGGGGGGCCTGCGTAGGTCAAGATTCGCTTGAACAAGAGAGAAGGAAAAAGGGGAAGACAAGGGTGTGGGGGGAAAACTTGTAGAATCTACCATTGTGGATGAAGAGGGGACCTCACAAGATTCGTTTGGATCACGAGTGTTTTTGTTTGTTTTTTTGTTCGTTGCCCCTCGAAGCAGAGAAAAAGGAAAAGTTTCCGAGGAACATGGCTTTCACTTTCCACCATCAATGGTCATCTGCGAATTTCCCCTTCCCTTCTGCTTCCTAGTACCCAAACAATCTCGCTTTCCCTTTCCCTGGGCTTTTCCGCTTTTGTCCTGGCCCAACACAATGTTTTCCTCATTTCCTCTCATCTCATGCCCTCTGGGCTATCTCCTTCACATTTCCAATTTATTGGGTTCCATTGTGGCTTTCATTTTCCTCCTGCTGTTAAACATGGGAAAAAAAACCTTATGGGGTCCAAACAGTATCTCAAATTAGCTTACTTCCAATAGAGGGATATCTGTACTTAAAAAAAAAAACATGAAAAAAAATACAACCTGAAGTTGTCCAATATCAGCCTTTGAAATTAGTTTAATTTGCCAACAAGAGTAAATCCAATTAGTACGGAGTCGGCTTATAACCCATAAGGTTGTAAGTTCAACTTTCATTGCCGATATAAAGACTTTATCAGTAAGCGATTTATAAGTGTCTTTGTGAGTTGTTGTTCCCTGGGTTAGAGGCATGTTCTGATCCTAATGGGTCATCAAGATCCAACTTATCTAAACTTGAATGTATCAAAAAAAGAAAGAGTCGAATTTCAGTCCAGAATCTTCGCCTGAAGAATTAGTTCATTTCCTTTACGGTCACGTTGCTAATTTCTGCAGTAGACATATTCTAGACGTTGTTCACTTTCCAATGTTGTAGTTGCAAGAGACGCCGTTGTATATCGTTTTGTTTGGATGGAAAACTTTTGTAAGTTGGTAATTGGTGCGTGATGGTGTCTTGCGTGCAACTATTTTCGGTACTAGCCTCCTTTCATATAATATATTCTGCCCGATCTCTAATACAGAAGCTAATTAAGAGTTGAATTTGACCCTAAATTTAATACTCAATTTGTTTTGTTTTTGGTATTTATAATTGTTCTCCAAACTAACTTACCTGACTCATATATAAATTAATATATAACTAATATTTTAGAGAGATTATGTCATTTATTATAATTAATTAATTTAATTTTTTTAATTTATTTAAATTAATTGAGTAACTCTTATATTAATGATGAGTTGATCAGCAAGCAATGGACTAATTAATAATGGAGAGACGCACTTCTTGTTTTACCAAAAATTTGCGTATAAAAACTCTTTCTAGAGCCATGAATGTTGTAAGTACGCCTAAATCAAACAACATTAAAAGTCTCCAAAACATTTTTATTTTTACTTTAATCAATAAACATCACATGATTGGCGCCATACTTGTTTTTTTGACACCAAACTCATTATTTGGACATTTTACAGTTTAATCATTCGAATCCCCACTCGTATAAGTAGTAATATGAATTGCAAAACCACACAGTACGCAAACTGTAAATCACGGACCAATAGATTAATCTTTAAAACTTCCATCCCAGTCGAAGAAGCTTGCGATCCACCTTACCTTGTTGTTTCACTCGTCCCGACGAACGAGAACGTCCTTTAATATTTGCCCTTCCTTTATCAGATTCACGATTTGGGCTTCCATTTCTTTTGTTCACAGAAACAGTATTACCTGAACCTGCTCGTAGACTCTTCTTCCAATCAACCTTCCCTCCATTCGAACGAGACACTAGTAGTTTCATATCTTCTGATCTATGACTCCATGAACGTCGATGATGACCCTTTCCAGTCGCTTCTTTCTTAGTCTCTTTGATTTCAACTTTGGTCTTCCCTTCCATTTTTATGCTTATGTTCACCTCAGAAAGTGCTTTCGTTGTGTTATCTTCATCTGATCCTTCTTTCATCTGTCTTTCCTTCTGACGTTGATAGAGACGATGCAGTCTAAGAGAAAGATTACATATGCCGTCTTTAATCTCTTCTTCTAAGTCCCTTTCCACCTCCATTTCAAGCTCACTTCGAATCTTCAATTCTTTCTCTGACACAGCCGATCCCAGAATGTGATTGTTCTGCACTTGACAATATGAAAAAAAAAGTGGCAGATTAAAAACTGAGTTTATGGTGAACCCACACCCCAATTAAGCCAAAAAAAGTGAAGTAGTGAAACAAGAAATGAACTTTTTTCACATCAAGAATTGAGGTAAGCCAAGTATTGCCATCGCCGTTAAAATCTGCAAAGCCCAAATGATATGTTATGAGCAAAGCCAGAAAGAAACTATATGAAAGGATAAAGTAATGCAGAATTTATCAGAGTCAGTAGTGAACCTTGAATCTCGGCCTCGTCATTGTATTTAACCAGCTGGTTCATGCTGAGATTGGTGGTGCGATTTAATTCTTGAACTGTAGCTGATATAGAGAGAAATATTTACATATTTATACATGAACAAGGTGATTTGGACAGGATGAGATGGGGCCTGTGACAAGTTGTAAGGGACATGACACGACCTGGGGAAACTTAGGGAGAAGATGACAGTTAGAGGCGTTAATTCAGTTGGCTCATGCAAAATTAGGTGACAAAATAGCCTTGCATGATTTAGCATGTAAATGCAGCATTATTATTTGGGAAGGGAGGAATGGGCAGGCATGAAAATGATGGAATTACTTTGGAAAGAGACGCTTATTCGATTTTTTTTTTTTTTTTTTGAAAAAGAAGAAGTGCTTTGCGTGGAAGGGACTAGGGCACTGGGTTGGCCTTAAAGCACAATCAAGAAATAGGCCAGACACTTGTTTTGGAATTGTGTCTTTCAATGGATGACATTTTGAGACCCTTCTCCACCTCCACTTATTTAGGCCCGTGGGACAATCGAATCCTTACTTATAAAACTGCTTAAAAAATGTAATTCAAAACACTAAAGCCTTTCTCAACTGTATAACTGTTAGTTAATCCAATTCTCTAATCGGTAACATTTTTTTTTGGTTTAGCGTGGGTATTCTTTTATTATAGGCAATTTTATTTGAGGTAATAAATGTAGGTATCTCTCTTAATAAAAATTCGAATATTGGTTCATTATATTATGAGAGACTAGACCCGTCTTCTAAACTAAATCCAACCCCATTGGTAATGGGCAATATTGTTTTCGTTCTTACTTTAGGAATCAATTGTATAACTAATTCGGCTTTTTTTGGATATAAATGTTGGGCGTGACCTCCTTCGTTATGTGAAGCATGGCCCGAATTAGAAGCCCATTATGTGTACGAGAACGAGGTTGAAACTTTCCCAAATTAATTTAATTTGATGTTTAATCGGTTAAAAAAATTTAAACACATGACGATATAAATAATTTTCCTGCTATTAATATTACTTGAAAAATATAATCTACAAAGTAAAAGAATATTTTCAGAAGTTAAAGAAGGCAAAGATGCTCATTTAATTCTATTAATAAAGTACTTTCAATATATTTTACCAAAACTAATTAAAACCTTAAATCTTATTAATTCTGTCTTAAAATTTAATAAAATTTTAATTTCACTCATATTTAATATATATACTACTATGTTCTTATTTAAATGTCACATGTAGAAAAAAAGTTTATTCCTAAACATAAGTCACTTATAGGATAATAAATACACAGGGAGAGAGATAAAGTAAACATGTGAGAGAAAATATAAAACATATTTTTAATATTTTTTCTTTAATAAGGGCACACATGAAAAAATTATCAATTTAATATATTTCTTGATTTGTAGGCTTATGGTACAAATAACTTATAAATAGAAGTAGAGTAATATATATTAAGAAAATAATAATTTAAAAAATAATAAATTGAGAGTATATTCATATAATAAATTTAATGAAGTGATTTATATTAAAATAAAAAATATTTTTCTTTTTGCCTTGGAAATTAAATACTCCTCCGGTCCTTAATATAGGACCAAATTGAGTTGGTTTTGGTCATAAATATAGATCTATTTCTCATATTTATCAATTTTTTTTAAATTACTCCCTCAACCATAATCAAATAGAAGAGGGAAAGGGGGTATTAAGAAAGATGATTATGGTGTTTTAGAAAAAATGTGTCATATTTTTTATAATTAACTAACTTATCTAATTTTTTTAATCTAATCAAATAAGTTAAATATATCTTATATTAAAGAGCGAGTAGAATTAGAAGTGTTCACACTAACGGACACCAACATCAATATGCATATCCAATTTCTATTGGGCAAGCCCATTCCTATGGCTGAGAACGCCCAGGAGTGTCAGCCTATTCTTCAGCCGTGGAAGTTCTCCAACGATGGGACGAGTCATTCCTCTTCTTTATCCATTGCATTAGCAATTCCTAGAGGTCTACGGTATAGACTCTATTTCCCATCGCCTGATTGATATTATTTATAAGAATATTTTAAAGAAGGCGAATTTTTTTTTCCCATACTTATTTCATATTTTATAGATTATAATTAAAAAGTTATTTATAAATCATTCTAAACAGGCTCATAATCATATCGTTGTAATAAATTATCTTTGAAAGCCATCTAAACTAACCAAAGTATATGGCAGTGTTTACTCATCAATTTTCGGGGAAAAAAAGAGCTTACTAATCAATTTAAAGCTAATCATTATAAAAACAAATAAAAAGTAATCAATATAAGTTTTCCCTTCTTATGAAGGATGCGCCATGCATATACAAAATTTCATATCTTATTTGGATATAAAGAGCCGGTTTGAGATCCCAAGCGGATTAATGTTCACAAAAATCATTTTTATTTCAATGCCTCTTACAAGCTGAATTTAGGATAAAATTTAAAAACAAGAAGTCAAATTAAACTGTTTCAAATTTAAAATAATTGAGTGCATCCAAAATCATGTCAAAAATTATTTATTTATTTTTCACCCATCAAGTATTTTTTAGTTCCAACTAAGTCCCAAGACCCTTTGGACTATCCCAAACATGCACACTAACAAAAGAGATGAATTAGGCCATTTTGAGGCCCAAAAAACCTCAGTACAACCATAAATCCACGATACCTTCAGATAAACACCATAAGATGACACAGTAAGCTTGACAAGTTTTGTGTAAGATAAAATTATTAAAGGGTTTATATACTTGAACATACATATATATATATATATATTCAGACATTTATACTTTTAGCCTTACTCAACATATATACCTGTCATCATCATCTTTTTTCTTTAGTCATACACACAAATATATTTCTAAATGTTTAAGAAAATGAAGAGAATCATTATTTGGAAACTCGTCAGACGCGCAGGGATACAACATCAGTGCTCAAATTCTCTGCAGATTCGCACTATTTGTGTCGTGTTCTTGTTCCCAGGCAAACTAACTCAATTGAATAACTACAAGCGAATAATTATTCCATTAATGTACTGCTATATGTATATGTATATGATCATTAATGTCAGATCAATTATATGAATATTTAAATACCCGTTTATTCCTAATTTATATTAAAAACTTGCATGTATTTCTCTATATATGTCTGTGTGATGTTATTTAACAATATCCTCCTAGTCATCAAATGTGTTAATGCCAAGCAAGTTAAATGGAAGATGTCACTTTAGTCTGCTGTAACGTGTCCCCAACCCACAACTGCAGCAGAAAGGAAAAAAAAACATATTTTATTGTCACCTTGTGTGTGTAAACATATGGAAAAATATTTGTATTATTAAAACTTTCAAAAAAATTTCTCCCTTTTTATTTGATTACAATAATAATTCAGAAAAGGGGTTTCTGAGGGAATATGCTTCTGCCTCAGTTTCTGCATTGTATCAATAAAAAAGAGGCCATAGTTAATGTAAGAAGATGAGCAATAAAAAGCACACTGATCTTTCTGGGCATACAGGAATCAGCCCCCCTCTTCTGCCCTTCTCATCATCATTTTTTCCATCTTCATTCTTCTGCTTCTCTGCTTTCTCACCCTCCATCAGTCCTGCGCAGTACAAAGCTTTGATTCCTTCTTTTGTGCCTTTGAAGAGTCAAACCTCTCTCTCTCTCTCTCTCTCTCTCTCTCTCTCTCGCGTCCACCATCAATAATCAATTCAACTCATATCAGTCGTTCAACCAACTAAATATGTATATGATGAATTCTAAATATCTCTTATACTTCTCACTTGTCCTTTCTGCCCATAATATATTTCCGTGTACTTTTCTCTCACACACTCATATACATAACACCATCCATTATTAAAAGCACTATTCAGAATAATAATCTCTTTTCTCTCTTTATAATATACATAAAGAGCAAAGTTGGTTAGGGAATAATATAATTGGAGTGTGTAAACAAAGATTATATATCAAGTTAAAGAAAACCTAATCGTTTTCTTCTTAGCAGTTAAAAAACTGAACAAAGTTGATGATGATGAGCATATGTGTATATGAGACTGAGAGGGGCCGCTGAGAGAGAGAATGGCCCAGAGAGACTTTGTCACTTCATTGACTCAAAGCTGTAATATAATATACATAAAGAGCAAAGTTGGTTAGGGAATAATATAATTGGAGGGTGTATCCAGTAAAAAAAAGATTATATGCCAAGTTAAAGAAAACCTAATCTTTTTTCTTCTCAGCAGTTAAAAAACTGAACAAAGTTGATGATGATGAGCATGTGTGTGTATGAGACTGAGAAGGCCTGGTGAGAGAGAGAGAGAGGATGGCCCAGAGAGAGTTCATCACTTCATTGACGACTGAAAGCTGTAATATAATATATATAAAGGGCAAAGTTAGTTAGGGAATAGCATAATTGGAGCGTGTATCCAGTAAACAAAGATTATATATCAGGTTAAAGAAAACCTAATCTTTTTTCTTCTTAGCAGTTAAAAAACTGAACAAAGTTGATGATGATGATGTTGATGAGCATGTGTGTGTATGAGACTGAGAGGGACCGGTGAGAGAGAGAGGATGGCCCAGAGAGAGTTCGTCACTTCATTGACTCAAAGCTGTAAAAATTTCAACAACCTCAGTCAGTTTGTGGCAGTACACTGTTCTGTGTCGTCCCCCAATACCTAACGCAGCTCACATGCATTTAGCATACACAGACCGAGAGACTCGGACCAGAAATAATACTGACACCACGATATAAAGGAAAACCAACATTATTCTAAATCTTACTATATTCTTGTCGCTTTTTCCGGATTTCTGTGATCTTCATCGGCCATTTGTTCCTATACTATGATTTTGAGAATGATATCTATATATGCTCCAAAGACACCCACTCGATCCAATTCTAATCGTCTTTGGTTTTGTTAAGATTCTTGTTTATCTATTAATAATATTAGCAGTGAAGTGTCTCATCAGTCATCAGATAGGAAAACATGCTAATTCGTTTTTGATTTTGAAGCAATGAAGAGGGTGAGAACATATCATTTGTATATATTAACCAAGAAGGGTCCTTTGTCTGGTCCTGTGTCCAGACTCAAAGTTTAGAGCTTTACATAATAAGCCTTTTGCACTGTGCATATGTTCACAAATTCGGAAGCGAGCAAATCATTTTCAGTTTTATGAACTGAAATGTAATTAGTAAAACAAATAAAGTATAAACCGAAATGGGGTTTTATTAGTATATAATTTGAAGGATTAATTATGGTTTTAGAATTTGAAGGGAATTGTCAGTTCCCACTTGTGATACTTCTTTACATATGCGATGCATATCTAGGGGTATATTGGGATCCATCAAATGTATATTTTGTACAATGTCAAGAGTTATTAGGGTTTTGATTATCATTAATCAATTTGACCATGCTTAGCTGTTTGGATTATTCTAATTTTTTTAAATATCACCTTATTATTCTGTCCCAAAAAATATTTTATTTGTTGTTGTTTGCCATAGAACTGTTACATTGCAGTGCAGAGCTAAGCATATATAATAATATATGTAACAATGAAAACTTTATACGGTTTGCACAGTGTACTTTTTCTAATAAAATCTTTAAAGGGGTAAATTTATAATAAAAGCCTCTTTAAACATGAGAGTTTGACTGGTCAACAACTCAAAGCAAAAAGCTTGGGGAGGACCACATAACCCTTCTTGCTTCCCTCATGACCTGTAGGTCCCATACTAATGGTTTCCCAATCCCTATAAGCTATATGCCTATGTCCTTCTAGTGCTCACAAATATAAATATCGGATTTTACTAGTTTGATCATTTTTCACCTTTTGACAATTCAAAAAAATCCTGGGTCAGAAGCTCAAAACATGCATGGTATAGGAGATTAAACATGAATTCTCTTAAACTATACAACTATTTTTCTATTAAGTCTAGTGCCTGATTATGTGAATATTATTTTTTTCTGATTCTAAATATAAGAGTCCAACAGTTAATTTGTAGATATTAAAAAAATTAGTCAAGAAAATTCTTTGTAAAAAAATTTATGTTTGTTTTATTAAAGTATTCATTTTAATTATTTTTATTGAAAAATTACTCTCTTAAGAAAATACCCTACTTAATATGTGTAATTAATTCGGGGGGTTTAAAATTTTTTTAAAAAATTTGAGAGACAGAATGAACTAAAATATAACATTTAAAAACAAAACAAAACCCTCTATTGTGAATTTAGCATAAAAAGGGTAATTCATATTTACTCTCCGGACCATGCAAATTGACTTATAATTTATTTTGTAAATATAATTTACACAATATCCATTTGCTCCATAAATAACAATAACCAATTGCCTATGCAATAAATTTACAGGGTCCTATTAGAATTTAATATCAAATTACTCACCTTTATTGCTTCTCAGGAATAAAATCTTAAACCGACTGAACACAAGCTTCTCATGACCAAACTAGTTGCTTGGCTGCCCAACAAATGTGAATCTGTGGAATCATATTGGAATCTAAAACTTCTGGTTATGAAGAAATGTTTTTATTGTAACTGATGTATTTATGTTTGCCATAAAACACATAAAACATCAACAAAAAAATTCCCTCCATAAATTCCTTCTCTTCCTCCTGAAATGAAAGTACAATCAAATAATATAATGATAATACTGATAGATTTTCCACCAAAAATAGCAACTTCATAGCTGTCATGCTGGCCTTCAACACATTAATTCATCAAAATTGCCTTCATCATCCACACCTCCATAGCATTTTTTGCTGTTTATGAATCTGATTATGAACATGTAATAGCTTATCTTTTTCATGCTACAAGCATGATACCTCTTAAATTTCTCTTGTTCATTCAAAACACGCTCTTCTTCCCACTAAGTGTGTCACAGAGGGATGCCCTTTTAATTCCAAGGCCACACCAAACTTTCATTCAACCAAACTAAGTGAAGAAACTTTCATTTATGACTTGAAAGTCCCATCAGAAGAAGGTCTGTCTGATTTGGTCCTCTTAGCATTACAAGTATTTTGTGAAGAGTTTTGATATGACCCAACAGTTAATTCATCACTTTTGTAGCTCAAGCATGCAGCATCCAGCACTCCATCTGGGCTCTGGGGCACCAATGGCATTAAGTTTCTGCTCATACTTGCAGAAAAACTCGTCAAGGACAAGTCTCTTATCAGTTCAAGACACTTGAGAACTCTCTGCAAGAAGAAAAACACAATGGAACTTTCAAGATACAGAACAATTCACTCTAAGGAGGATTATGTCATACACAATTATTTACTCTCCCAGAGCAAAAGTAAATTTGTCGTTTTATGCTGTTTGTTGTGTGGGAGCCACCAGTTTTTACCTTTTCCTCCATCATTAAACCAGAGACGACCTTGTCAATCTCAATTGTTTGCAGTTCCTTTGCAACAGAAATGGCCACTGCTGCAGCAATTTCAGAAGGCATGAAGTCCAAGAAGTCAATACCTGCATTGATTTCCCAACAAGCACTGCTTAAACTCATTACTCCTCAAGAACAGAAATCTACAAAAAGACAAGACATTGAAACAGAATTTGGGGGTTTACCCCTAATTGTGCCAACTATGAGCTGTATTGATCTTGAAATGGATGAATTTGTTGGATGTTTCCCGGTAGTAAGTTTATTGAGGAAGTAGTCTATGAAGGAACAAGGAGTTAAAGCGTGCATTTTCCATCTCAATGTGCTTAACACTAGTAGCTCCATTCTTTCAATGGTTTTAGCTTCAAACACATACTTTGGTTCTCCAACCTACCCATTCCCAATATCAATAAGAAAATTAGAGGAAATGACACAGAAAATGTGGTATAATCATCTTAAGATGTTACATGATTCTTCACCTGTAAATCTACTAAGAGAGGCACTTCAATCTCCTCCATTTTGGCTGCCAGTGACAAACAAGCCACAGCTAGCAATTGCACGGTCCAGGATTTGCCTCTCTAAATAGACCAGTAAAACCAAATACAAAGACATTAGACCATCAGAAAGAAATCACACAAAGAAAAGTTAACAAGACAGAATGCTTAGCTTAGATATTGGATCTTACAGGCAACTCATGTATTGATAGGAATCGATCCAAGTAGTTCACAGATAGACAAAAGCTCAACGGGCCAAAACCATAATAAGCATGAGCCTGTTGATGAGACAATACAAATTAGAGTTACAAAGAGAAGTTCCCACTCAAAAACAAGAAAGAGGACTTGATCAGTGTAACAGCTACAATTTTTTTTTGGGGGGGGGGTGTTTGCACAGAATTGAAATAACAGACAAGCTAGAAAGAAGGAAAATGTAAATCCAGTTCAGAATTTCGACAAGTTGCTGCAAGATCAGTTCAGGACTACACACTAAGACCACTGCCCCATCATCAATGTCGATTTTTACAAAACAGAGAGAAGCACAGAATATTAGCACAATCCAATTGAAATCCAACTAGAAAGGTAGACCTCGTAAATCGATTACTATTGGAGAAAACGAGACATAAGAGCCGAATGTTCCCGATGAGACAAAAAGCGTAAGAAGTACTTGAGCTACGAGCTTAAAAGTCAATACAAACGACAAGATTGATCGTAGTCCTGTT